ATCGGTTCAGAAATATTTAATTTCCTGATATACTTAGTTTACAAGAGTAAAATTATAAACAAGAAGAATCGATCCAGAAATATTGCATTTCCATATCGAATAATTTCGCAACGTCACTATTTAGTACTTGTTATAACGTTGCAACACTGAAATTGTCAAATCTGGAATCGAATTAAAATTCCGAGTATAACTTTTAAATTTTAATTAAATCATTATTGTGTTACAATTATAGTTCTCAAAACGAAACATGTCTTCGTTACAACCTATCCACGCACTTAGTTTAGGTAAGTACGGAAGAACCTTTAGGTAGACATTGTCTCATGTTCAGTTTATTCTCTTTCCTTCAAAAACTATATACTATTATTATAATATTTATTCATTTAACATTGGTCTTATAAGATCTTTTTCATGTATTGATTACCTTTCAAGTATTGTTTTATTAAATGTTGTTTTTGTGCCTTTGTTTTTTGTTAGTTCTCTAATACTATTTCTGTATTTAGATTACTCTGCTGTTACTTTTTAGCAACACATTATACGATGGACTAACTATATAAATAATTTATATGATATCAAAGTAATATTTTAACTTATCTAATAGGTAGTTAAGTCCGAAACAATGCAAGTGTAAGTAAACCAAGTTCAAACTACGTACTTAAAAATAAGTTAGAAGAACATAAATTAATACCTACATATTAATGAGCACCAAGCGCTCGATGAAATAAAAGTCATGAAAGATTTTTGAAAAACACTAACTACTACGTATAGTACTTTATAATTAATTATTGTACACTTGACGACCCATATCAGACTCCTATTACTGCTCCATCCAAAGGTTGTCTGTAAGAAATCGCCTTGTGCGATAAGACCGCCCATTGTACACTATTTTTGTTAATATTTATCCTATAATGTGATTGTGTGGTGTACAATAAAGCATATATTATTATTAACTACCCTTGCTTGGTTATTTCAAAAAGCCGAAATGAGATTTCTATAGTTTTTAACCTGTTCCTGTATAAAGCTAAAAACTTGTTTAGGTAGGTAGTTAATACCTAATAGAACCTTGCCTTATCTTAAGTGATTTGTCTAGTAAAGAACCCATTTTATACATTACTAGCTAATCTTTCTACCACCTTAAAACTTTTCTCACCGTTTAATCTTCCCTGCACTTCTACGAATATTTTAAGACCAATCAGTCAAATTGGTTCAGCCGTTCTCTAGTTTTAGCGAGACTAATTAATGGTAATTTATTTTTATTTATATAGATAGATGATGTATCTATGTGCATTTAATAAATATACAAGTAAATAAAAAATAAATTAATTTCATTGATTACCATTACATTAACAATTATTATTAAAAAAAATGATCTTCGATCTTTGTAAGGGTCAATTATATTTTTTTATTACAGCTGGTATAAAGTTCTAAAAGAAACAAACAAAGTTATTTATGTAATAAATTTTATTACAAACTTATTCTCATAATACGTCACAATATCTCTAACATTAATAATTTTATTTGAACAGATTCGGTCCAGCAGCAAGCTTTTGTCAAATATTTTCAGTCTCTACCCGAGGTATGTTACTTTCATATTAAGTTGTTCTTAAGTTAAGTATAAACAGTGTTCAGCAAACCTTTTAAACTGTACTTATATCACAAAGGTCAGAATATTATCATTATGACTAGGTTATTTTAATAAATAAAAGTATTTTAATACAGAATATTTAACTAAAATCTCTCAAATCTCAAATCTTTAGTTTAATATTAAAACCATGAAGCTATTTTATTTTTGGCATTTGTGAATTTATTTCCAATAGATTTCCAAAAACCGGGCTTTTCAGTGGTTGGCTCTACTGGTGCGGCTACTGTAGTACTTGAAGAAATTGAGTGTAAATCATAATTATGTTTTTTTACTTCTACAACCTCTTCTAATTCTTTAGGGGGTGAAGGGTATGTTGGTGGTTGTTTATGTGTTGGTAATGTAATGTCGTGTTCTTGTTTCTCATTGTAGTTGTTACTCCGTCCATTATTATTAATGGGCTCTACATCCAAGTTTTCCTGCTGTCCAAAATCATGTACATTTTGTTGCTGTAAGTCAGTTTGCTGCCAAATATTGTGCAAACTTTGTTGCTGTGAGTCAGTCTGTTGACCAAATTCTTGTATGTTTTGTTGATCCAAATTTTCTTTGTCTTCAAGATCATGTACACTTTGTTGCTGTAAGTCAGCTTGCTGCCAAATATTGTGCAAACTTTGTTGTTGTGAGTCAACCTGCTGACCAAATTCTTGTATGTTTCGTTGATCCTTATTTTCTTTTTGTTCTAGATCATGTACACTTTGTTGCTGTAAGTCAGCTTGCTGCCATATATTGTGCGAATTATGTTGCTGTAAATCAACCTGCTGACCAAAATCTTGTATGTTTTGTTGATCCAAATTTTCTTTGTTTTCAATAACATGTACACTTTGCTGTCGTAAGTCAGCTTGCTGCCAGATATTATACAAACTTTGTTGCTGTGAGTCAACTTGCTGACCAAAATCTTGTACGTTTTGTTGATCCAAATTTTCTTTTTGTTCAAGATCATGTGTTACATTTTCTTTCTGTAAGTCAGCTTGTTGCCAAATATTGTGTAATCTTTGTTTCTGTGAATCAGCGTGCTGACCAAAGTCGTGTACATTGTGTTGATCCAAATTTTCTTTGTGTTCAAGATCATGTATGTTTTGTTGCTGCGTATCTGCTTGATGACCAAATTCTTGTAAACTTTCTTGCTCCATATTTTGTTGTTGACTAAAATCTTGCAAATTTTGTTGATCCATATTTTCGTGCTGACCAAAATCTTGTAAATTTTGTTGATCCATATTTTGTTGCTGTCCAAAATCTTCCAAGTTTTGTTGTTCCATATTTACGTGCTGGCCAAAATCTTGTAAGTTTTGTTGCTCCATATTTTCATGCTGGTCAAAATTTTCGAAATTGTGTTGCTGTCCAAAATCCTGCAAGTTTTGTTGGTCTAAGTTGTGTTGCTGGAAAAAATCTTGTGAACTTTGTTGTTCCATATTTTGATGTTGACTAAAATCTTCTAGATTTTGTTGCTCTAAATTTTCTTCCTGACCAATATGTGGTACGGGTTTTTGTTCTAGTTTATTCTGTCCATTGTTTTGGGGTTCCGTTATTACTTTATTCTCATTATTTCTAAATTCATTTGTATGTACCCTTACTTGACCAGAGTTGTCTATGGTTCTTTGTTCTTTCAAATCACGTGACTGTTCTGTTAAATGCTTGTTTTCGTTAAAAACATTTATGTTGCTTTGTCCTGCCGTCTTGTCGTTACTATTAACTTGGTCATGAGATTTCTGTACAACTGATCCCAAAACACTCAAATCAGTTTGAGGTGGTATTTCTACTTCTTTTATGTTTTTATTTTGTGTTGTTTCCATGCTCACAGAGGTATCAAAGGGATGTTTATCGGGTTTTGAGTCGATTAAATCTTCAGAGCTGATATCACCGCGGCCCACGTCATGAGAACTTTCGTGCCCGTTACGTGTGATATTTGATTTTTCTACGCTCATTTCTTTTTCCTTTTCCTGTGTGTGGTCTAATATTCCTTGAACAGTTTCATTAACTTTAGGATGACTGTCAGTCTGCATCGAATACCCCTGATTGTTTTGCGTTTGAGAAAAGTTATGCTCTTCAGATTTATTTAATTTGTTTGTTAATAATGTAGGCTCTAAGTTACCTAATGTATCCCAAATGCTGGCTAGAGGTGCAGTTGGAGAATTTGTATCAATAGTATGAGTGTTGATATTAGTGTTCATAGTCTGATCCCGAGAATTACTAGCGGTGTACATGTGCCATTGATTACTCTCATGATGTGTTTCATGAAAAGAGCTTTCTTTGTGGAAATTATAAAAGTTTGCATTGTTTTGTTGCGAATTACTTTGTTGTGTGTTTTGGTATCCACTTTCTTGTCCACTGAATTTATGTTGTTCATGATTTTGATCAAATATACTAGATTGTTCTTGGTCATCTTGTCTTATATTGCTCATATCCCAGATATCGTGTGTTTGTTGGTCTTGAGTATTATTTTTTAATTCTGTGCCTTGTCTGCGTTGTTCTTGATCATCTAAATTAAGAAGTTTTTATTAAAAAATTGTTCACATGATGATATTTATTTTATTTAAGTATTAAGATATTATTGAGGATGGTTTAATGTATATTATTGCTTTAAATTAAAATAGTAGTTTAGTAATGTTTATTAGTTTATTTGTATTTCGATAGTGATAATAATGTAAATGTCGAAGTTTTCGTTATCAGTTTCGCGGCTATTATATTTTCTTTTTTATTCTGTATAGGTACCTATAGAGATTTAGCTATGTATTCATATTAAGATTTAAAAACTGGATTATTTTTTGTGACTTCCAGTTATTACTGGTGTGGTGCCATGTTATACAACAACGTCTGCTTATCTAATTTTAAATGATAATGCTGGATTGCTTGCCACAACAATATTAGTAATGATATTTTTTGCTACATAATATCACCTTCACCATGGGCTAAATTGCGTATCATAGTAAAATGTAGAAAATATTACATTAATCTTCTCATTAGATTATATTGTTAGGACAGTTGTTTAACAACTTTTATATATTGGGTACATGAATTTGTATATTAGATATACATTTATTAACTAAAAATTACTGACCGTGCACACTGCTCATGTGGAAAAGTCCCTCTGTGACTCAAAACTAGTAGAGCTTTTCTCAGTATATTTACGTGAGTAACTCGTAATTTTTAGTTAATTCAGCATGGCTCACTATAGTTAGTATTATAAAAACATATTCAATTATGTTACGCAATTTAGTATGTTACTTTTCAACTTATTCATATGTAAAAGGCAGCTGCCACCAAATAAATATCAAGATAAAATTATTAATAGTAATGGCAAAATAAATATCTGATGCGATTTTACAAAATGATAAGTGAAAAACTACAATAGTAGTAGTAATAGATCTCGCCGATAGTTTGTGTTACAATTTTGTAGGAAGAACACATGGATTGATATTGAATATTTGAAAGTAATGTTATTTATGATCAGACAGTTGTTAAATGTTTTAAAGGCCAGTATCGACAAATACTGGTGATATCGAGTTAGTTACGGACATTTATTGATCACTTACTTTGGACTTTTTGATCAAGATTTGAAGTTTGCTTATTTAAGTCTTGAGGTTTTTGACCGAAATCTTCGAATTTGGACCATGTTTGCTGCATATTATCCCATTGATTGTGGGATTGTTGGCTTAAATCTTCTACGTTATCCCACAGATTTTGTGTCTGCTGTCCAGTTTCTTGACCCCAGGCAGTTTGTGATTGTTGACCGAAATCTTCCACTTGCTGACCTGTCTGTTGGTCTAAATTTTCCACTTGCTGACCGAAATCTTCAACTTGCTGACCTAAATCTTCTAGTTTCTGGCTTTGTTGCTGTTGATCTTGAAACTGATCAATGTTATACGAACGGGCAACGCGTATGTGGCCATTCTCGTCACAGTCTTCGCCTCTTTGATGTGAATGCTGATAATGAGATCCACTAACATAGCCCTGATTCAGTGACGAACTCAGCCTTTGCGAAGTTTGGCCATCATAATATGCGCCAGATGCGGGCTTAATGACATAAGGATCGCCTTGACGTTCCCATGATTTATGATAAGAGTAAGAGGATTGATAACTTTTAGGCTTTGTGTCTAAAGTTTCAACTTGAGTATTCAAATCAGCATTGTAACCTGCATTATGTACGGCTTGAGTCAACGAATTGGAATCTACTGCAGCTCCGTATCTTCCAGCATTATACTGAGTTTGGACATTATAACCATTTGATCTGGAGTCCGATGTAGAGTCCTGGTGGTTAGATCCAGCTGCAGTAAAACCGTTGTAAATTGATTGCCCACTTCGTTGTGCGTCGTAATTCAAACGAGATTGTCCAGATGTAGACTTGACAGCGTTATATCCACCATATACACTGCTTGAGTGTGCTCTTTGAGAATCTGCTCTGCGGGCGTCATATTGAGCATTACTTGTACGTGCCTGAGTGTCCTCATAAAGTTCACTATTTTTAGGGAATGGATTATCTGTAGAAGTAGATGTAGCAATGGTTGCAGGAATTGTATCGTGCTTTTCCCATTCCTTGTGGTAGTTGTAAGATGATTCGTAATGTTTACCGTTACTAGGTCTATATACAGCACGTTGGTTGGCATTGCTTAACACTTCAGCTTCACTGTTAAGAGAATTATGGTTTACTTGAGACCCTTGTGCAATATCATATGTTTGAGCACCAATTGGTATAGCAACCCTCGTTCCTGGTCTTACGATAATTCTGACTGGTGTGGCACTTATTAACCTAGTATGAACATTTGATCCATAGCCGCCTGACTGGAGATTAGAGTTACTGCTATCGTAAGTAGAATGTTGTTGGTAACCAGACTGTGCGTTGTATCCGGAACTGTAGCCTGTTTGTCTGCCACCATACTCGTGCTGGCCTGCTCCGCGAGTGTTATCGAGTGTTTGAAGGTCATCAGCTTGTAGATTTATACCTGTGTGTCCACCTGCTTGGTAGCCACTGTGTCTTGAATTTTGTGATTGGCTACTTGAGTATCCCGCTGCATTGTACGCTGAGGATGATGCTAATGATGACTGTGAGTTTCCGTACGATGCACCTTCTTGAAAATTGCGCCCAGCAAGATTGCTAAGATCATAATGACCTGATCCATAAGTGCCTCTAGAGTTGGCAGCAGTGTAAACACTTCCAGTCCTCGTTCTTGCACCGCTGCCTAGCTCTCCTTCGACTTGTCGCACCAGGCCACTCATTTGGTTTTGAGCCAAAGCGTCCATATTATGGGCACGTTCGTAATTACCACCCATGTTACCTCGCTGAGCGCCATAAAATCCTGACTTGGATCCCTCATCCGTGGAACTTCGTGAAAATTGAAAGTCTTCCTTTTCTTTATATAATTCTGGTTTAGCCGCGGCTATAGCCAAAGCGGCTACAAATATCATTAAGCGCTTCATGTTGACGTGTTGCGCCACCCTGAAATTAATGCAGATATATTATTAACAAAAACATTGTTGTGAAATATTAATTTTCTCAGTTAAGTAATATTACTCTACAGCGCTAGACATATAAAACATATTGTTCCTTGCGTCGCTATATACCTACAGTTCTGGTTCTACCTAGTATGTGTAGTGATGGTCCGTTAGTTACCTGACAAGCGACGATCGTAATGCATAATATAAACTATGCTATTATTAAAATTGTATCCGCCTATCAAACATAGCCTCGGTCGCGATCAACTAGCGCCTTACTATGTATATCGATAAAGGTTATTGTTGTGATAAGCTTTGACACCAGAAAATATTTGATAGCTATTGTTTTATTTGACAACGAGGTAACTATCAGATTAATAATAACAACTGAATATCAAGTAGGTAGATTTTAATGAAAACAGTGCTATATTTATGTAGTTGTATAAAATTTGAGATAGTAATTTTTCGGTACCATAATAAGTTTCAAATCTGTGCAACATTTAATAATATGTACATCATCTATAAATCGAATTGTAACAGTCATGATGTAATGTCATTCTAAGTTTATTTTCGGCGCATCGTACCAATCGCATCGCTATGTCAGTTGTTTGATAAGAATCACTACACCAGTATAAAAGAAAGTCGCTATACGTCTGTCTGTCCCTATGTATGCTTAGATCTTTAAAACTACGCAACGGATTTTGATGCGGTTTTTTTTAATAGATAGAGTGATTTGATTCTTAAGGGAGGATAATACATGCATATTGCACCCGTACGAAACCGGAGCGGGTTGCTAGTGAGCAATAAAAAATAATTAATATGCCTACCTACAAATTATGTAGTAAACCCTCAGTTGAAATACTGTATACTGTGTAGCATCTTGTGTATATTTCCTCGAAGGATAAATAAACCCTTTCGAAAATCTAAGTACCTATTCATACAACACCATATACGAGGCATTTATAACTACAAAATGTTTTCTAACTACAATCATGCTTCGTGTCAAATAGGGGTATCAATAACCTTACCCCATAATAATAATTATAATATGGTGCGTACATTTGAATAACACAACTGGCACTAAGTTATCTGTTAAGTACATATAATATTCTAAAACACAAATAACATGTAAGTAATAAAAATCAGATCTCATAGTATACATGAACATATGTTTAAAAATAATCTATGAAACCTATATGACAAACTCAATTTAATTTTGCAAATAAAGAAAACTGCTGAATATCAGGATCAAAATTTAAGTTTTTAATGCTTAAATGCACAAACCAACTTACTACGATACCTACATACAAGCTTTTGAAAGGAACTAAATTTTTCTAAATTATTTTTATTATTTACATAATAATTCTTGTAGAATCCTTTTCAACTTACCTCTTATTTTATTTAAATTCAGGACACAAACACAATAAATAAAATTTTCACACCGCGACTACTGCGTGTCGCACACTGACATTGGTTGATCGGGACGCGCCAATTTATTGAGCTTTAATATTCTATCTCCAGCCAGATAACCTCATGACCGGAGCATGAGCGATCTTTTATTCTCAGAAGCGGACTTGCAAATAAACTAAATCTTGGATCCAAAACCTTGAGTAGTTATTTATTTATATTGGTGATTGTCAATGTATAGTTTTGTATCCTTAATGATTCAGCGGTACTATGACTTCATTCATAAGTTTGTTTTGGACTAAGACAACTGTTAAGAAGTGCTGACTATTTTGTTACCTCGTAGTCTCGTAAACAGGTTTTCATGTGTATAGCTTAGTTTAGTTAGTATTATTCTCAAGTAATCAAATTTCGCAATGCCTTTCAAACAATGTGATATGTTTGTAGCTACTTGGAGTTTCAATAAATGAATCTGGAAACACTCAATAATAATTACTGTAGAATCGCACAGGACAGAACCTTATGTTCAACAGTCCTGCTTCCGAGTCGTAGACGAGCGAAGCTATTACCTCCGAGTAAATAAAGAAATTAGATGGTCGACTTAACAAAACAAATGATTGTTATTTCTGATTAGTTTGATGACCTTTTGCGTGTGTTATCTTTCTCTCCGAATTAACTAATATGAACACTTATCATGATTTCGTGGAACATGTATTCTTAAAATATAGATAGAAGTTCTAAAAAATACTGATATTATTTATTGTTTTATCCTTATTTTTATCAACTTCAACTTCATCACTGAATTTAGATTAGAAACATTCCAAGCAGACCATGAGAGTTCAATACTAGACTATGGTTTCCTTTACAAGAGAGAAGTTTGCCAAAATTTTTAAACTTGGTAGACGGGCTGGAGGTCGTAGCTTAGTACTAGATTCAGGTCTATATTGCACTGTTACCCAGTTGCTATTAAATATGCAGGTTTAGTTCCTTAGTCGACTACGATTAAACCGCAGGTTAAAGTAATTATTCTGAAGAAATGTTTGGGATTTTTTTAAATCTTAACTAGGCGCTTGTATTTCACAAAATATGAACCAAGGTATTTCCCAAGCACCGTAGTAGATACCTAAACAGGACCTGCAAGGCTGCAATTGTTGTAGTATAGGTACTTAACCTTACAAAAAATCTAGCGGTCGAATACATGAGGCTACTCACATAATATTGTAATATTTAAATTTAAATTGAAAAACATTGATTTCTGGCTGGGCCTAAAGATAATAATAATTTATTAACCTATGTATAATTTTATTATGTTTGCCAAAAATGTGGGAAAATAAGAGTCAAAGCAAAAATAATAAGTACTTAAGTTGTATTATAATTAAACAACACTTGGTAATTGCTCATTGACATTGCTCTTAATAAAAAATAGGATATCAACTAAAGATGGACGGCCGAGTTCTCAATAATTATAAGTATCAACAACAATATTTTACGCTGGCTCGAGTTGTTTACATTTTTTCCTATATAAATTACTAATAATTTATTTAATATCACATATTTATGATATAAAGGTGTGTTTTATGTGCATAACATTACGCATATTAGATACCTTCTGATGACGGGGGGAAACTTTCAAAAGGCGCTTTTCTTCAGCGCCATTTTTGCGCCTATTCCAAAGTCTTATTAATAGGGTTGGCTGACCTAGGACTCGAACCTGAAACCTTGCTTGGTAGTTCAACCATTCGTTCTTGTTTACCAACCAGTCATTTGATCGTACAGTAGGTAACTCGTGGAACATAATATAATTTGCGTTTCCAGTTAAAAACATATTTTGTAGGAAGATACAAAATAATAACTATTATCATGTCCTCTATGAATAGCCATGAACCGTCTTTGTGACCGCATGACTTGCCACAAGACGTAATAATACGATAGTACATTGTCCTGTACAACATATATGTACGAGTCTTGCAAGCAATCAAAATCTATTCAAAACTTTTTATAATAATTAACAACAGTTGAATAGTTCTAAAAGGATTCATAATTTTCTAGAAACCTGCTACGACGGTGAGGATTTTTGACCGCAATGATTACTACAGCGTCCATGGAAGTGACGCAACAACTGCTGCGAGGGAAGTTTTTTCCACCGTAGCGAATATTAAGAAGATGGGCATTGAACCCAATCGCCTTGACTATCTAGTACTGTCAAAAGGAAACTTTGAAATACTAATAAAAAAGCTACTACTGGTAAGTACACATCCTTGATTACTAAAAATAATTATAGATACTAGCTTGTTATGCAGCATAGCTGTGTTCTTCAGTGTCAAATGCTTGAGACTTGAGAGATATAGAAGAACATTGAACTGTGTGTCGCATATAACGATATATACGTTGAAGATAAGGTCAATGTTGTATTGATATTTTAACACCTAGCTAAGGCTATTGTGTACTTTGTATTTCTGATTAGTTTGATGACTTCTTTGTAGTTACTATTTAACTATTTTATTGCCGAAATTAAACTTGAAATTATTGTTTTTTGAAGACATTTCTTCAAACATGTGACAAGAACAGCGCCGGTAGCGCCTATGGATAGAGAATAATGTGGTGGAGGATCAGAGGATCTCAAATCGTTTGTGGTTTTTTTGTTAGAAGTTTCTTATTAAAGTCAAGGTCTGCCGGGGTAGCAAACGTCTCTAGCAAAGTGAAGGTGTTGAAACAGGGTGATTTTCAGTCAGCAATGGTCTGACACTCTGGTCATTTTTCAACTTTGGCCATTTGATGATTCCATACTTACAAATAAAATAGGTAAACGATTTGGCTTACTGTTCTAATTATTAACATTGAGATAAATCTGTAAGACCTAAACACGAGTTTGTAGTAGCTAATAGCTACGTAAAACGCGTATTGACATGTGACCTTAAACTTTATCAGGGCTATCTCAAGTTTATCAGTCGTTCTCTTGTTGCAAGTAAACACGGATCATCTTAAGCACGTTTTAATTGTACTAATTGTTCAATGATTTTACACTAAGTTCATATTGATAACATCGGAAATACCTAAACTAATGAACCATCCGATCTATGTTTATTGCCCTAACTTTGTAAATACACGAAGAAATCTAGAATTTTTTTTTCTAAATTTTATTTTATTTGAAACTCTTTAATACAACATACTGCTAACAGCATTTCCTACCTATCCTTTAAGTAGTGCAGAAATGTATAATAAATAATTTATCATGTATCACATGAAAATAAATATCCCAAAAAACTTTACCTGGACTGAATTTAAATTCCATAAGTAGGTCTTCCGACACTTACACAATACTTGTAATTGGATTACAAAATATACCTATATGCATAATATGTTGTGTGAAGTAAATGCGATTAAAACTTTATAGTTTTACCCATAATAGTCACGTAGATTGATTCCAATAATATTTTTATTTCTCAGGTGAGGCGTTATAGAGTAGAAATATATGTAGCCGAGGGTTCTGTGAAAGGAAGCGACTGGTCGCTGAAATACAAAGGCTCACCTGGTTACCTGTCTCAGTTGGAAGAAATCCTCGGCGAGGGATTGGGAACATCGGATGACACGACACCATGTTTGATGGCTGTTCATATAAAGACAGATGCAGTTACCAAAGTAATACTTCAATTTATACAATTGATATCCGCATTGCAAACTTGTTTCGGTTTCCTGATAACTTTGTAGCCTTATCGTACTATGCGCATGTGACCCGTTGTTCCAGTTAGGAATTAACTGGGCTAGCTTAAAATATAGGCAAAGCTAAACTAAATTATACTCTAGAACTTTCTAAAGAAAGAACTTTACTCATCTTATAGTGCTTTCAAAGAGACAATGCTGTAAACTCTGAGATACTACATAACAAAAAATATTTACAGCATACATTTCAGCATAAATATGTCTATTCATTCAATGGATTGAAACCTTTTTATGTCCTAGTATTATGTTTCAACTTTGTATATACGTGCATTATAGGGTCGACTCCTAGGCGTAGCATGCATCACAGCCGGTGACTACCAAATGTCTGTGACGGAGTTCACCGATGACGACTTACTCACGGAGCTAGAAACTATCACAGTACAAATGGCGCCTTCCGAATGTCTTGTACCAATTAGTGAACACGATGATGTAAGTATAAACAATAACTGTTGTTTGAATATAGAATTTTATTTGTTTTTTTTTTACGCGAAGGGTGGTCCTTATACACCCAGTTTTTAGCCATATCATAAATATTTTCAGTTCAAATAAATGTTATATTTATTTTGTATAACATCTGCCAATCACTAACTCATGATGCCAATTTGATGGGAAATTAACAGGGTGTTAATAATATGCTTAGCCTGACTTGGGTAGCGAACACGTAAGAAAGCCTGATATACTTACTTTAGCGCGCTTGAATATAAGACGAGGTGACAAATAAAGCAAGTCCTGGTACATATTATATTAACATTTTCCTTCTAACCTTACAGTATAAAGCTTTAAAAAAAGTTATGGAAAGAACAAATGTAACCTTAACAAAATTGAAGAAGGCTGAATTTTCAACGGAAGGACTTATTCAAGATCTGAATCGGTTGCTTAAGTTTAAGGAGAATCAACAACAAGATGCCAACGCTTTCCCAGAGACAAGAAAAGAGGTCGCTATGACCTGTTTGGCTGCTGCTATTAAGTACTCTGCCTTGTTAAACGATAGCACTAATTTTGCAAGGTAATTTAAGTCTATGTACCTATCAGTCTATATCTATATGTAACATATAAACTCCTTATTAACTGTTTTATGTAGATGTACATAAAGACGAAATAGTTAAAGAAGATGATATTATTAGTGACTTCTTTACTTCAACTGTTGTTGTTTTAATGTTAAAACGAAATTTAAAAAATGCTGACTGCCTTGTTGGCTGAATGGTCGTAAGTGCGACTGCCGGGCAAGGGGTCACGGGTTCGTATCCCGGGTGGGGCAAAGTATTACTGGGTTTTTAAATATTCTCAGTAGTAGCACGGAGTCTGGAATAGTGCCCGGTATATGGCAATAGGCTCACCCTCTATTACATGGGACTTATAACATAAATAGTGAAAAGTGGGTGTTACATTGTACAGTGGTATAATGTGCACTTCTGCCTACCCCTTCGGGGATAAAAGGCGTGATGTTATGTATGATGTTATGAAATTAAAAAATGCTCGTACATATTTATTTCAAAATATTAATTTCTATATTTCAGGTTTCATTTATCAACTATTCAAGCTGATTGCTTCCTACACTTAGATTCTGCAGCATTGTCGGCTCTCAACGTTTTTCCTGAACTTGGAGACACGTCGAACGCACCGTCAAGAAGTCTGTACGGCCTATTAGATAAATGTCGTACGCAACAGGGCAAGCGGTAGGTTCTTATTCAATTATTCATATCAATCATGACAACATCGTTATTAATACTGTTCAACGACCGAGTTATAATGGGAACTAGCTTTTGCTCGTGGTTTTACTCGCATCTGTTTATTATATTAATGTTTTTAATTAATTCCACAATTTCTCTAACTTACAATTTTATCATCACCTTACTAAACGCTTGTTTAATGTTAATTCGTTCGTACTTAAGTCGTTTGGTACGGTTTCATACTTTAAAAAAACGAAAAAATTCAAGGGGCTAAAACAATAAAGAAAATCTAGTTAAAATAGTTAGTATAGTCGAAGACCTTATTTTTTATCACTCCCTGAACTCTAGTTACAGGGAGACAATACAATCTTATTCTTATACTGATTCATCCATCTTACAAAAGCTATGATTCATATTCGTAAGAAGTTGATTTTGTCATTCTGACATCATACTTGAAATGTCACTGCTGATTACCTGACCACTCATAATATTCCGTAGTGATTAATAAAGTGTGGTTCCTTCCGTTGAAACTGGCCACTAATATGACACATCCACACAAGTCAAAGGCTGGTTGTCCTGTCAAAAAAATTAAGTGCCTTTTAAAGGCTTAATATCTATAAAATTATTCTGATTCAATCAGCAATGATGTTAGGAATTAATAGACGAACCGTCTTTGTCTTTTCTATATCTTCATATGCGAATTAAGTAATTCCGATCTATTGGGAATTAGTCTTCATAATCTAGAGGCTAGCTTTTTCGACTCTTCCTAACTTTAAAATACTTGATTTAGCGAGCCCTTTATGAATGTAAAGGTGCTTTACGACGTCCTTGTCTAAGATCTTGGGAAAAAGTTAATGTTTGTTAATCTATATTGTATACCTATTTGAAAGGGAGAGGGAGGCGTCCAACTCCCTCCCCTCCCGCCGTAGACGTGCCGGTCGTCAACGCCGCGAGGTGGTAGCCGATCTGCGACTTCCATAAACTTCCATAAGAGAGGCCCGCAGGCGACTGACAAGGGGAGTCAGTCATCCGCTATACGGGTGGGAGTAGGCGTTAGCGTTGTGTGCATGGAGCGCGCCACTCAGCCTGCAAGGGCTGTTTCGTGGTGGGACCTGCCACAATATAGTGGTAGGTCGAAGCCTGCCGGATGCAGTGATTCCGCAAGGGCGTCCCGGGTCACGGCCACTGGCAGAGGAGGAAAACCGCGGTGGTTTTACCCGGTAAGAGTCCGGCACACCCCCACGTCGCCCCCACGACGTGGGAAGTGCATGAGGATTTCAATCGCGTTATAAAAAAATAATGGTATACCTATTTCGAATCATTAGGGACTATGCACTTCTAGATTATATCTCAATAACTCACTAAGAAAAAAACTAAAATAAGAAAACAAATTCAACCATAAAGACCACTAAAATTACTTAAATTTTGTCTTAGACTTTTAGCACAATGGCTTCGACAGCCTCTTCGGGACTTAAACTTGATCAACGAGCGTCTGGACATCGTGGAGATGTTAATGAGCAACTCCCAGCTTCGGTTACAGCTACATGAAGATCACCTTAGAAGGATACCTGACCTCCAAGCATTGGCGAGAAGACTTACCAGGAAGAAGGCCAATCTACAAGACTGCTATAGAATATATCAGGTACTTCGATATTTTAACTAACTTTTAGTTGGATAGGATAATCCTAATTAAAAATAGGCAAGACAGCCCTTGATATGATTGTATTAATCGTTATTTATCAACTTATTTAAAATGTAACCTTGTCCTTTATTTTGGAACATCAAAGCTAAGATGGGTGGCACATATTGACAGTTTGGTTTTCACCAACCTATAAGTGAATCCTAAAGGTCATCCCACATTTAAAAAGCACGGCTCCAACCCAGCCATTAAGTTCTCATTTAAATCTGAACTTTAAATCGTATGTCGTATGATACATTTCGTAACGTCAATACAAAAAGCCGACGGCGGGTGGTCAACGCGCGGTCCACTCGAGGTGTTGTCGAGGAGCGCCGGTCACGCGGCGGTCATTCGATGATTTTCCCCACTTAAAAAACATTACAAGTAAGAGGTTAGTTTAAGTGCTCCCCTTTACGAAATGTTTTAAGAGTGGAAACGGCCGTAACTTTATTATAGAATACACCGGTAAACGAGCAAACGGATCGCCTGATGGTAAGCAATGGTGCCGTCCATGTCCATCCGGAAGACCAAAGGCGTTACAAGTGCGTTACCGTCCTTTTGGGGATTAGGAATTTGAGGATTTTTAGGTATTCAGGGATTGAGGAGATTGGGGATCGGGTAATTGGGCCTCCGATAACTTTACCCACACGACGAAATTGCAAGCAGTTTTCTGTGAGGCCGTGGTATCACTCCGATCGAGTCGACCCATACGTGTCGAGGCATGGCTCTCCCATACTTAAGTACTGTCGTATTAGTTACAATGGTTTCTTCAGTTCTTTCGTTAAAAGTCTGATGTCAAATTACAGGCTATCAAAAGGCTACCGTCACTGCTGCGCTGTCTAGCTGAAGCTGAGAATGCAACAGTACATTCATCTATCACGGAACCCATATCGGAACTGAATGAGGACCTCGGCAAGTTTCTGGAGATGATCGAAACTACCGTCGATATGGAAGCTGTTGATAGAGGTGAGATAGACAGAATATTAAGGGCATTGTCCACGCTGCGTTATTTGACGGATGCCTTCTTGGACTTGTCAAATGACGCAGCGTTGATAGTGTCCCTAAGTTTACAAGCGACATTATACTTGTTCCCTGAAAGGTTATTTAAAAGTATAATAGCTAAGCCTATTGCTAAACAGTGAAATGATCCTAAATATGAATCCTGTTACCTCCTGTTGGGCAATCGTTATCACGTCAACTCAACCAAGAAGGTAGTCATAAATAAAATATATTATTTTTAAAAGACCTCGTTATCGACATTTAAAATTATCGACTTATTGTTTAAGCAGTGCAATATGAATTGTTTACATAAATCTGTGATTGAACTGTGAACTTTGTGCTATACTCAAATTAACAGAAATAACGCGTCATTGTAACTTGTAATAATCTGTTTCCAACTTTCGTTACTTCGCTTCGTACAGAACTATCTATACAGGATGTTACATTTGCAAGCAGGACTTACGTTTAGTTAGTTCAAAGTCAAACAGACACGAAACTTATAAATATACTTATGTTACATATTACATATGAAAAATACAATGTTGATAAATAACGGACGAAGACCTTTCCTGTAAATCTTTTAATTGAAGAAAGATAAGTGGTATTTCAGACTAAGTACCGCGGTTATATAATTTATACCCTATATACACGTATTTGGAATCTGATTCCAATAGCAACCACCCTTTCAGAAGACGACTTGCTTGTCACCCTGTGCGCATGCGCATATAAATACAAACACTTTAAACTGTGAACACTTTTTGCTTATATTGATCATTTCTTGTGATAACATTACCATGTATTATTTCCAGGCGATTTCCTCGTAAAACCGTCGTTCGATGAGCAGCTTCAAAGTTTATATGAGCAGTTGGAACAAATGCAGTCCTCAGCTGATAGGGAACTGAACAAGGCTGCCAGGGATTTGGGCCTTGATGCTGGAAAAACTATCAAGCTAGAAAGTAATCCTCAACATGGATTTTGTTTTAGGTAAGATCATTTATATAAAAATAACTATGTAGCTGATTTTTTATTTAATAATTGTTTTTTTAACCGTTGCCCCACACTATGATTTTCTCCTGTGATATTCACATACACATGACACCCAGACCAGGAACAACAATCTGCGGCAATCGAACCAGCGACAAGTTGAGCCTGTTGCCCAGCCGTCTATTGCTTGCCTTTATTTAAACTTTCATGTATACAATACAATAAAATAATGGTACATCAAGGTTAATGTAACATGCACTTTATGTCGGACATTTTAAGAGGGACTCTTACACGTAACAAGGGGCGAGCCTATTAATTACCATAGAACCAGGCATCATTCTAGACTCCAGCTACTACTAATAAATACCGAAAAAATATTACCAGATTCGAACTTATTAGTGTATAGTTCTCCTATTATATAGGTGTAAATTATTATTTCTAAAAAATAATATTGTATCAAAACTTTTTTCAGAGTAACATTGAAGGAAGAACAGTCACTACGTGGAAACAAGAAGTACACAATAATAGATGCAGTGAAAGGAGGTGTTCGATTCAAAACTAAAGCATTGGAGAATATCACAGATGAATATACTACAGCTAAATCTATGTACGAGAAGGAACAAGACAAAGTAGTCGCTGAGATTGTGGGCATAGCAGGTGAGATACTAAATATATTATATATGCTGACATGTTTAGTTACCTAGATCTTTATGAAGCCGTTTTCGTTCACTTTTGAACAAGAGGCTTTCCAGTAGCACGCCTGAACTCGATCTTCCGCTCTTCACATCCATCTATTACAATTCACCTCGCACATCTATTCGACGTTTCCTTTAGCTTAGATGTGGCAATCGCTAATCGTGTAACACGTTTACCCTAATAGTTATCGATTCCTAGAAATAATACGCGGTTACCTTAAAACGCGAGACAAAATAAAATAGACGATTTACGTCCATTGCTTAAGGATGCTCAACTAGTTTCCAACTACACCGGGGTTCACACTCATCCTCGAACAATTTAGGAAGACGCATATTTTATCTAAATCGTGGTCCTGTCCAAATTAACAGAATACAGTTATTTTTAAAGTGAGTAAGTCTTATTATTTTTTTATTATGTTTCAGCTGGATATTCAGAATGTTTATTCTGTTTATCCCATATTTTATCTCGGCTGGACGTTCTAGTATCGTTCGCAGTGGCTTCTTCTATTGCTCCCATACCGTACATACGTCCTACTTTAACTGAGGATAATAATGAAATGGTGATGGAAGGGTTGCGCCATCCCTGTCTAGAGGTAGCTGAAGGCGTATCTTATATACCCAACGATGTTGTTTTCAAAAGAGGTTGGTACCTATGTTTTGTTAATTATTATGTTGACTGAGTGACTAGCTACTCTATGAAACGTGTCGCGAACTCACGAGTCTGATTTTCATACGAAGCATTTTTCTGTGAGACGTGATGTATAATTTGTGTTTTTAATTGCACCCAGACCAAGAATAGAAATGTCCCTACGTGAAAATCGGGCCCGTGATACTTTTCGCAAGTTATGCAATAACCGTAAACCATGGGTCCGTAGCTGTGTAGATATTTACCTGTAAATATGAATTTTTCAGGTGAAGGTATCCTACACATAGTGACAGGCGCCAACATGGGAGGTAAGTCCACGTGGATGAGGTCGTGCGGCGCGGCCTGCGTACTAGCGCACGCCGGGTGTCCAGTACCCGCCGCACGAGCCACGATACCACGCCTGCGCGCTCTGGCCGCACGTATCGGTGCTAGTGACGCTGAAGGACAGGGACATAGTACCTTTATGCGGGAGATGATTGACACTGCGGCCATATTACGGGTCAGTATAGCATCTCATATATCTTATGATTACCTGATACACTTTCCAATATTCCATGTAAGCCCCACTTTTCTCTAGATATGCTTCTCTACCATATACCGGTACAATTCTATCCGCATTGCTACAACTGAAAATTGTCATAAAACCCCAGTAACTAATACAAGTATACTACCCGACTCGATCGAATTTCTTGCTCGGATTATCTTCCACAATAACTAACAACACGGACTGAAAGGCAAACTGTTTCTTACATAGTTACTCTACCAGTGATATTTATTCTGATTTATTTCATAAGTAAATGGTACCTATTTGTGTATGTAGGTTGTAGGTGGAGTACTATCTTATTGCTCTCAGTAACGATAGAAGAATAAGAAGTCTGACATGACCCAGCACAGCAACTCCTTATATTAATAGGTGACGATACTTATTTCAGACTGCAACGGCAGATTCGCTCGTTTTGATAGACGAATTGGGGCGAGGTACTTCAACATATGAGGGATGTGGAATAGCATGGGCCATAGCCGAGTAAGTACTACATTATTCAGAAATGTATTTAGTATTAGGCCGTTATATATACGGTATATTTAAAAAGCAGCCATTTTGGACACAAGCAATGCACAAACAAGTGTATTGCCGGCTGATTGGAAATGGGAAAGTAGATAGAGCCTCCGGTAACCTCACCAACATGGCGAAACAACGCCAGCTTTGCCTCACGCCGTTTTTCTGTGAGGTCGTTGTATGATACAAGTCGAGTGGGCTTAATGCATGAAATATACTCTATACAATATTATCTTTAACAAAAATTATCATGTATTTACAGAGAATTAGCAACAAAGAGCCAATGTTTCTGTCTGTTCGCGACGCACTACCAAGAGCTAACGCGACTGGCGAGTTCCCATCCTGGCGTCATCGTCAACTCTCACGCGGAGGCGTCGGTCCTTAACGGGCAACTCCTGCTACTGCATCGCATCGTTCCCGGCCCTGCATTGCACTCGTTGGGATTACACGTCGCTAAACTCGCAGATCTACCCGATTCTATCATTAAGGTCAGATATTACATATGTACTTATTTGTGATTTATATGATTTTTGAGTAATTATGTAGGTATTTTTTTTTGTTATAAATACCCAAGTTAGTGATTTCTTGGCTGTTTTTAAAATGAATATGAATTAAAAAACATCTGTATAGATGATAGTAAGTTTCATCCGTTGTTTACTCACACTGCATTTTGTCATTTAAGTCTAAAGCTGACCAACTGAATTCTATCTTTCAGTATGCTGAAACTAAACAAGCGCAGCTAGAAATTAATTTGTTCGACGTAGAAGCAGCTGTGAAATCAACAGAAACGAAGGAGGGACAGAAATTAATCGTAGACTTCTTGCGTAAATGTAAGCAGGTACAAGAAGAAACAACTTCAGATGATATTATGATGAAAGAAATTGCAAAACTAAAGCAAGAATTGTTACAATCTAATAATAAGTATGTCGAATCTCTCATGGCTTGATACATTTATAATTAATTCTTTCAATAAATGTCTTGTTATTTTATTATTGTATTTTCAAACTTAACGTGCTAGTTCTCTATCAGCGTGGTCCTTTATTCTAGGTAGGTGCATAAATATCTCTCAAATATAACACATAGCATAACATCATGCTTTTTATCCCGGAAGGGGTAGGCAGAGGTGCACATTATGCCATTGTACAATTTAACACCCACTTTTAACTATTTATGTAATGAGTCCCATGTAATAGCGGGTGAGCCTATTGCCATATACTGGGCACAATTCCAGACTCCGTGCTACTACTAAGAATTTTTAAAAACCCAGTAATACTTTGCCCGACCCGGGAATCGAACCCGAGACCCTTTGCCCGGCAGTCGCGTAAAGTAAAATAGTCCGGTCTTGTTAATACAATAGTTTTACAAAGAAATAAGATGTTTAATAAAACAAAATAACTGGTGAACCATTGCAAAAAGTAAACTTCGAAAGCGCATAGTACAGTATCAAAACATTACGCCATGTAATTCTCGTCGGGTCGCACGACTCGCACCTGCGATGCGAATAGTGTCTTCAAATTTAAGTCTAGTGTTTCATGTGCGTATTTCCATTGTTTTTTTTTAAACAAAAAAAAAATGCTTTTTTACGTTATACATCGAAAGTACTTCTTATGCAAGTTGTTTTTGTTGGATTACCGCCGTGGGATCTGGAGACAAAGGTGATCGCGCGCGTATTCTCTCTGTGTGCAGTGGCACGTCGCACCGGGGCGAAACTCCGCTGCCGCGCCAGATAAGTGCGTGGCGGGAAGAGCTCCGGCGCGATCTCATGGCGGAATGGCAGCAACGACTGTCGCAACCGAGGGCTGGACTCGCTGCCATTGCAGCGGTAAGTCCCCTCCTTGAGAGACGCTACGGCGTCCTCACCGGACATGGGAGCTTCGAAAGGTACCTGTGTCTGATGAACGGGAGGAAACGCCCGGGTGTCATCGCTGCGAGGACCGCCCTGAGGACACAGTAGAACACACAGAAAGGAAATGCCCAGCTTGGGCTGAGTACCGCCGTGCCTTCAGGGATGTGATCAGCGACGGCTACCTCTCGCGTCCGGAGGATGCGGAGCGAGGGGGACTGGGATGCCGTATCCTCCTTTTGCGAAGCAGTCATGCTAGCTAAGGAAGAGGTGGGGCGCATGAGGCAGCGAAGCGCTGCGTCCTCACAACCCAGCGAAGGACACTCCGGGCGTCGGGGATCACGAGAGGATCTTTGGCCACCGTAAACGCGGGCCTGCGGACGGTGAGCATGGGTCGCTCGCCGCTCGACCAGAACCAGACCCGAGCGTACGGCGCGTCGTGTTCCGAGCGCGCCTCAAAGAGCTATCAGACCACCACAAATGAGGGCTGATACCGATAGGGAGTCGCGGAGAACTTAACGGGTTACCGGCGCTGCGGCTTGAAGTGCAGGTGTAGGAACTGGGTGGTATTTAGTCAGCAGAGTGTGACACTCCCTCCCGCCTCACCCAGGCGGGAGAAGTCATTAGATGATTTCCTCTCGTAAAAAAACGGCAAGTTGTTTTACCGCGGGACAAAAACGAAATAAATTACACGGTGTATCATCGGCTTCCTTTAAGTTATAGGTTATTTCCAGGAGTCTGCCCCCTTAACTCTTAAGGGTGACAACTGTCAATTTTTTCCTAATTGTAGTGCATGTGACAAATTTTTGTAACTGTTTGCTTCCGATTGTTTTTTTTTATGGCAGAAGCCGGTAAACGAGCCGACAGATCACCTAATGGTAAGCAATCGGCATCGCCCATGGACAGCCGGAACTCCGGAGGCGTTACAAGTGCGTAACCGGTAACCGGTCTTTAGGGGAATAGGAATTTGAGGATTTAATTCAGGGATTAAGAAGATTGGATAATTGGCCCATCGGTAACCTCACTCACACGATGAAACAACTCAAGCATTGTTTCACGTCGGTTTTCTGAGGCCGAGGTATCAGTATCACTCATTCCCGGACCATTCATGTCGATGCATGGCTCTCCACCACTTGGAATGTGTGTCCAGTACGGCAAATTAAATATCAAATAATGGAATATTTAATTGATCTTATACTATATTTTGTCATTATGTCAAAAGTCAAAAAGTCAAAGCATTTATTTCAATTAAACCATAGTTTGGTACTTTTGAAACGTCAACAAATACAAAATAAATAATAGTCTGTCAGTCAGTCCGTCAGTGAAGCTAGGTGAAGCTATACTCGGAATTTTAATTCGATTCCAGATTTGACAATTTCAGTGTTGCAACGTTATGACAAGTACTAAATAGTGACGTTGCGAAATTATTCGATATGGAAATGCAATATTTCTGGATCGATTCTTCTCGTTTATAATTTTACTCTCGTAAACTAAGTATATCAGGAAATTAAATATTTCTGAACCGATAATTTAGTTTTGACGATTAATTAACGATCTGAGACTTTTCTTTTATAATTGTGTGTGAAATAAATAAAAAAATGTAATCATGAAGGAACATGACAAATAAAACAGATAGATGTATTATGGTAATAAGTTATTTTATAAATTGTCGCCGTCATCGCTATCGCTATCCTGTCACTTTCTGTAACATTTATTATAAAACACACACACTGATTGTTTATCGATTTTTGTGTTCATCACTACACTTTTATATGTGGTATCATTATTTCACAAAATGACAGTAGCTATTGTCAAATCTGGAATCTAATTAAAATTCTGACTATAGGTGCTCATTCCAAAACGTAGATTCGAATGGAGAAGAACGAGCAAGAAACTCCATTCGTTACTCTTTTAAAAATGATATCGAATGATCAATAAAATTCAAAATGTAATGATATTTTAATACAATGAGCATATGACGCGTTGAATACTGGGGACTAGACCAATCACATTCTTTTCATTTGAAGATTTATTGACCTTTCAATAGGTACTGATTTTTGATGACTGACCGATGATTTGTCTCCCTCTTATTGGGGACGTAGTTTGCTCATATTTTATTCTCACATACTCGTTGAATACCGTCATTATAGACACAATTAACTCGTCGAGTACCGGTTTCGTAGACACAATTATAGAACAATAGGTTGCGGTCACCGGTGACCGCTTGGTGTTTGACAGTTTAAACTATAATTGTGTCTACAAAACCGGTACTCGACGAGTTAAAGAACAATAGGTTGCGGTCACCGGTGACCGCTCGGTGTTTGACAGTTTAAACTAAGACCGAAAGGAGTGAAATATGACAAAGTCATACTTTTAATAACAACGATGATAATTCATATTTACTCATATTTTTTTCTTTTTCAAATTAACCATCTAAATAAGTCGAGTTGAAGCAAGTTATGCTTTATATAGGGATTCAATTACATAACTGATAAAAAACGCAGTGCAGGGGTTTACTGCTTTTAGAGATAAAACTCATGTTGGCATCATATTGATCTTATGATTGTTAAATTTTCTGGGGGTTGATTGCAGTATTTGTTGAATAATGGTTCTTAAAGGTAATAATAAAACAAAAATAAATATGATTTAACAATTTTTTAATTAATAATGAAATAGTAATCATCACATTTGAAAAACAAATTAAATGCGACTTATGAATTCTCTTTTGCAATTACGCATTAATGTTAAATGTCAAAAACGATATAATCCAGTGGCATGTGTTATTATAATATTAATATGATATTGACGAATTTTCGAGAATTCACACATAAATAATATTATAAACTATGGAAAACCTTTTAATGTACCTATCTTGTTAAATAAGCTAACTTTTAAATTACATGTGACAATACATTATTCAGAGGTTTGCTACGCGAAAAACAATTTAAATGCAACCTATTAATATCTATGCATCGCAAGACGTTTCACAAAAGTGTCTATGAAATGCTTTCATTAGTTATATATTTATAACATTCTATACTGTGTCAATAGAATCCTTGTTTAAAACCTTTAATTTAAATGATTGAGAAATATTTACTCTGTTTTACATTTGCTCAGCACAAACAAAACATGTTTCTAAGTTATTTTAGGTCAAATGCAGATTTTCCTGTTTCATTATTTGCGCTGATAACGTTTTAACACTTATGTACACTTTTGTCGGTGGGACAAAACGATAAGCTACATATTTACAATCATTATTTACATTCTTTGTATCAACAGGGACACATTACTGAATTATTTGAAAAAAAAAAAATTAAATAATTTGTATTATAATTAAAATATTATCCACTTTTGCGTTTGTATCTAATACACTTAATTATTCAGACTAGCCTTCAAAACCAAGTTTAGTCCTAAAGAATTTAGTAAACCAAAAAAACAATTATGCAACTGATTTATTGTGTTGCACTTACATATTTGACAATATTTCCAAAACGAGCACGACCTGTATATTTATAAATAATTTAAAATAATGTTAACATCAAAAATTATATTGTCTTATTACTATTTCACGAGGAGTGTTAACATTGCCCCACCGCTTATAATTTATTAGATCACAAGGGCGGCCTCAGTAAGGCCACGCTTCCACAGTCAGAAATCAAGTAATTCCCATTTTATTGCCAAGAATGGGTATATCCGTCATTGCCGTTACATCGAATTATCACAAATACGACTTTTGAAATTCTATCGGTAAAAAGTTACAATGTCACACAAGGCTTTGTTACATTTGTGTAAAATAAATAATTGTAATAACACGTCAAATTAGATCGTGTAATTAAAGTAATAAGCGTCATCAATATATAATCTTAATATATGCTAACTAAGTATTTTATAATTCACTATACCTAAATATATCTGTCTTACTCCTGAGGACTCTCAATTTCGTCTTTTGCTACACTAGCGAGCGAGTTCCTATCGAAACTATCAAACAATATGTTTTCATAGGTTACTCCGCCTGTGGAAACGTGGCTTCCGAGCTCGTGGTTTCAGCACACAGCTCTATCCGGCCGTCCCTTAAGACTAGAATCGAGCCTTCAAATTGGCGGCTCTTCTCACGAGAAATATAATCGCACAGCATTCTGAAACGTC